ATCTTGGATCCGCCTAGATAATTACACAGGAAATAAACAAGAATCTTTCTGTTGATAAACGAAAGAAAATGATTTTTGGATAGGTGATTTAAAGGATCAGTTAAAAATTAGTCAGTGGAGTCTATAGTAGTATTATGTAAGTTGAAATTAACTTTAAAACTTGTTGGAATGTTAGAGATAAGTCCGCTAAATGCCTTTTTTCTGGTCAATTAAAGAAATATACCTGTTAACTTTTGTTGTCTACATATCTAATGCAGTCAGTGCAAAATTTTAATTTTTTTTTTGTTTCCCGTAATAATATTTGTTTGTCAATACGGCCTAACAGTTTGCATCTGTCAGTGCTCTGCTGATCAAAGGAAATTGTTGTGTCCTGTTGTTCAAATAATTAATATGTAATTTTTTTTAAGGATACTAGGATATATTGTCTATAATATCATCTATAACTCTGGTAATTCCTAAGCATGTTTGCTAAATCTTAGTATTTGAATTCATTTTGCAGTTTTATTCAGTTATAAAGGTATTCCACTTAATTATAGAATTATTTACTTAATACCTGATTTATTTAAATTTGTGTTTTTGCCTTTTTGCTATTTGTTTTATTTGATTAATTTTTACTTAATTGATTAACATTTTATAATACGTTTATCTAGCAGAACTTTTGAGGAATAAAAATTGGTAATTTGTAGTTATTACTTGTTTAATGCTCTCCAATAACCTTCCTTTTCTCTGGTAACTAATAGGAAGATAAATCTGATAATAATAAAGAGATATTATAAGGTTAGTGTGTTTGTTATTTACTATGTATGCATATTGGTGTCTTTAAACCAATCTTATAATAGGTCAAGTGTCAAGTTTTCCTCGTCTATTGACAAAGGACTAGGTGGCGTCCTTTATTTTTCCCTTCTGTTAGTACCAAATTTCCTCATTTTCATCGATAGAGTTAAATTTCCATTTTTTTAAATATACCCCATCCGAAATCTATTGACACACGTCCCAAAGCTCACCGTTGTGTCCTTTAAAACACAACACCCGTTACAATATGATCAAGTAGTAAAAATGTTTTTAAAAGTGATCCACAAAAGAATTTACCGGAAATGCAAGGAACAATTTGCGCTCAATCAGTTTGGATTTGTGAACGCCGTTGTTACTAGGGAGCTTTATTTCTTCTTCAGCCTGTGTTCGTCCACAGGCCTTTTCCATTTGCTTCCATCGATTTCTACTTTTGGCAATTCTCATCCACTGCTTGCCCGCGACTTGTTTGATATCGTCTGTCCACCTCTTCTGCGGTCTGCCTACTCCTTGCCTGTTCTCTCTTGGTCTCCAGTTTGTTAATCTTTCTGTCCATTTTTCGGGATTATCTCGGGCAACTTGTCCGACCCATTGCCACTTGAGCTTTGCAATACGTTCTGAGACATCAGTAATTTTTGTTCTTTCACGAATGACGTTATTTCGAATCCTGTCTCTCAAACTAATCCCTAACATGGCCCTCTCCATTGCTCTTTGAGTTGCACTGAGCTGCTCTAAGGTTTTCTTTGTGAAGGCCATGGCCTCCAGTCCATATGTAGTTACAGGCAAGATAAATTTGTCATAAACTCTACGTTTTAGACACATTGGTATATCTTTATTCTTCAAAATAAAGCTTAATTCGCCGAAAGCTCCCCAAGACAGTTGTATGCGTCTTTTTATTTCGGCTATTTGATTTTCTTTGCCGATTTTAATGGTATGTCCAAGATATATATAGTGGTCTACATTTTCAAGACTGACGTTGTCAATAACAAGATTAGTTTGTAAATTTCTCATTATTTTTGTTTTCTGAAGGTTCATTTTGAGACCTATTTTATTTGACTGCTGGTTTAATTCCTTCAACATTTGCTCCAGTTCCTTGATATCTGTACTAAATAATACTATGTCATTCGCAAACTTCAAATGACTCAAACGTACACCATCAATGTTTACACCTTTTTCCTCCCAGTCAAGCTGTTTGAATACATTTTCCAATGCTAAGGTAAAAAGCTTTGGTGAAATAGTATCACCTTGTCTAATACCTTTATCAAGGCGCATTTTTTCAGTTTTTTCGTCTTCATTGATTTTGATGTGGAATGTGGCCTGTTCATAAATGTTTTTAATGAGTGTAGTGTACTGTGAGTCTATTCGAGCATCCTTCAGGACTGACAAAAAGGACCAAGTCTCATCGAAAGCCTTGTGAAAATCGATAAATGCCATATGTAAAGGTACATTATATTTTGTGGTTTTTTCTACTAGGGTTCTGATGGTTTGTAAGCATCATTAGCACCAAACCCTTTTCTAAATCCCGCCTGTTCAACCGGTTGATATAAATCAAGTTTTTGTGTTATGCGGTTGGTTATTATTCTTGTTAACAATTTGAATAAGTGTGACAACAAACTTATAGGTCTGTAGTTTTCAATATTAGTATACTCCTTTCTTGTGTAAAAGTATTATTTCGGCGTTTTCCCATAGGCTGGGTATTCTTTTTTCTGTTAGACACTTATTCAGTAAGACTTCCACAACTTCTACAACGATATTGCCGCCCATTTTTAACATTTCAAACGTTATACGATCCTCGCCAGGAGCTTTTTTGTTTTTCATTTGTTGTAAGGCATGTCTAATTTCCGAAGAGGTTATTTTAGGGAGGGTTTCCGAGCCGACGTTTGGAATTGTTCTGTGGTCTGTTTCGGGGTTCTGTATAGTAGATGTATAAAGATTCTTATAGAACGTTTGTATTTCCTTGATTATTTGAGTTTTTTCGGTCACCGTATTCCCCTGTTGATTTTTGATTTTAGTTATCTTTGATTTTCCTTTAGTTAAATTTGATTTCAATACTCTCATGTTTCTATTGTTTTCGATGGTTTGCAATATTTGTTTTGTTTTATAAGCCCGCAAGTCTGACCTTATGCTCTTTTTAACTTTATTGTTGATAGCCTTATACTCTGGTAATTCTTTCGATGTTCTTCTTCTTTCTTCCATTAAATTAAGTAATGTTTGTTTCAGTTTCGTTTTTCTGGGATTTTTATTTTTATCACAGATCTTTTTTGCAGTTGATGTTATGTCATTCGTTAATTTTTGTGTTATTTCATTTATATCTTTCATGTTGAATACTGGTAGAGGTCCTAGTTTCTTTTTTAGTTCACTTTGATATTCCTCTTGATTCATTTTCAAGCTTTACATTTTCACATTCAGCTTTATTTAAACTCTATTAACAAATGATGGAAGTGCTGAAGAGGACAGGGACTGACGGAAAAGATTTTAAAATAATAGCTAACCTGTATTGGAATCAATCAGCGGTACTTCGAATAGATGGAGAATATATAGATCAGGTCAAAATATTAAGAGGAGTGAGACAGGGGTGCATAATTTCACCACTGATATTCAATCTGTACTCGGAGCACATTTTTGAAGAGCACCTCAATAACCATAGAACGGCTGCAAAACTTAATGAACAAAATAACGGAAACAAGTAAAAAATACGGACTGGATATAAACATTAGCAAAACCAAGCTAATTATCATCAGCAAGGAAAACATAAATGAAGCAAATCTGTATGTGAACCAAATAAGAATTAAGCGTGTCTCACAATACAACTACTTGGGAACTATAATGAATGAGTCGTGGGACAATACCCAAGAGGTTAAATGTCGCATCGGTAAGGCAAAAAGTGTATTCTTGAATATGAGTTCTGTGTTCAAGAGCCATGACCTTACCATAGAAATAAAAATAAGGCTCCTTAAATGTTATGTGTACTCAGTGCTTCCGTACGGAGTAGAAACGTGGACATTGAAGGCGGAATCTCTATCAAAACTCCAGGCTTTTGAGCTATGGTCATACAGAAGGATCTTAAAGATACCATGGACAGACAAAGTCACCAATGAAGATGTACTGCGGAAGAGGAACACAACTGCGGATTTGGTCGTCAACATCGTGAAGGGCAGTAAGGTGCAGTACTTGGGACATATAATGAGAAATCGATGTAGATAAGAGCTACTTCAATGCATTTTGCAAGATAAAATTGAAGGAAAAAGGGCCCCAGGACGAAAAAGAATATCCTGGCTTGCAAACCTGAGAGCATGGTATAGAATGACCTCAACACAGCTATTTCGTATAGTAACCAACAAAGTCATCATAGTCAGAGTTGTGGAGTGAAAATCAAATAAGCGTTAGCAATAATTCTGTCGGAAATTTACGTGTTCTTGTTACTAGAGATTAGAAAATCTGGTGGTAGTCACACAAAATTCGTTAGAAAACAACAGAAACTAGCGGGCAACACCGCTAAAGTCAATACAATCCATAGATATATACAGTATCTTAACTGTTATAATGCAGTAGTCTCCAATAAACGCAGTACGCCGCGTACAATGTTACAGTACAGCTCTATATGTCGCGTCTGTACGCTTGTACAGCAGCTAAACGCTACGTTCACCGTACAATAGTAGACCGACTAATATTTATTATACAAACCATACAGACACGACGTACGACATAACACTGTACGCGACGTACGGCGTAACACTATACGCGACGTACGACGTTTATTGGAGACCATCGCGTAAAATAGAAGTCAAAATTTCACTCTATTAAATAATAAACTTTTCACACTGTTATTTTTAATTAATTTTAAACGCTATATTAGAGCTGATGAAGAAGTTAGTGTTACAAGTAAGAAGAATATTTCCTTAAAACAATTACAATTAAAAACGATTTTGGAGCCAGAAATTTGATTGCTTTTAATTTAAATCTTTTTTTACTGGTTTTTGTTATTTTTAAATAAGAGAATATCACACCTTTTCATATTGTATAATAATATCTCAAACTTATGGGTAGAATTCCACTCAACATATTTATAAAAAATTAAACCTTATGGTCCTACTTTTAACACCCAGTTCAGATTAAAAATCACATTACACCAAAAACCGACATCTTTAATATTTAGAGAAACCCTGTCTTATTGTGCTGGATACTGATAACGATTAGATTGGAGAGATTTGTCAAACAGTGCTTTCTCGTTTATTTGGCACCAAAGGCGTTTCAGCCGAAGGTTCCTCTTCAGTCATTGATAACGGTTGTAACGCTATAGGTGGTTCCCTAGTCTGCGGATGGGACCGCTGCGTTGGAAGTGGACCGCTTCTATAGGCAACAGGATACATCCCTGGAGGTAAGTGGCTCATCGGACCGTAGAGCCATTGTTGTGGCGGTTGACGTGGCAGTGTGCACGATGTGTATGGAGTCATGATTTGTTGCGGTGCAGGAAGCTAAACAAAAAAATAATTAATTTGTTGTTAGTCTCAGTGTTTTTACTAGGTAACTAGTAAACTTCATAATACCAGAACATTTTACAGACAATTGCGTTGTAAAGAAAAATTTGTAATTTTTCATAATAATATGAACATAATTTTCCTTAAGTCACAAGTAAATGGGTATTGCACATTTTTTGCTTTAAGGATTGCTTTTTCAGTTGTATTTTTCATGGTACGGGTAGCGGGTAGGTACCCCTTTATGGTCCCGATAGAGGGTAGACTTACTTCAGGGAGGTAGCGTCCCTGCCCACGCGAGCTCCTGGTTTTTCCTCCATTCCCTATTTAGGTGAAACCAGGCCCAAACCCTAGTATTATCCTACCTAAACTCCAAATTCCTTACCTAATCCCCCCCCACTCGCTAACACGTCTGCCAGCGGGGTGAGTTATTTATAGGCTAAGGGAATAAACCCCGACAGAAAATTCTGGTCCTCCTAGCAAGGGGGTTTAGCAATGGGCCAGCAACTCATTCTTGGAAAAAATAGTAATGCTAAAAATACCGAAACCAAGCCTCGGGATATGGATGGAACTAAAGGACGACGACAATGGCAACGAAAACGGACACTGATTTGTGGTACATGGAATACACAAGGAATTAGAAATAAAATCGAAGATGTTATCCAAGAAATGAAAAAACATAAAATGGATTTTGCTGTACTCTCAGAAACAAAGAAAAAAGGACAAGGAACCCAAAATCTTGATGGATATATACATATACACACGGGAGTTAATAAGGAAGAACATGCCAAAAGAGGAGTATCAATACTTATATTGAAGAAATACAAAAAGAATATATCGAACTGGCAAGCAATAAATGAAAGAATCATAAAGATCAACCTCAACTTGAAAGGATTAAAAATAACAATAATAGGCACATACGGTCCGAATGATGATGCACGCCTAGAAGAAAAAATAAAATACTATGAAGTCCTAGATGAAACTATCTCTCAAATAGGTCAAACAAGGGAAACTATTATACTAGGTGACCTCAACGCAAGAACTGGTAGAAGAATAAAAGATAAAACAATAGGACCATATGGAGAAAACACTACAAACGATAATGGCAATAACTTAATAGAAATGTGTAGACACAACTCACTAAGGATCATGAATGGGTATTTCAAACATAAGGAAATACATACATATACATGGACTCAGCCTACAAGAAACTTAAGATCAGTAATTGATTACCTAATAATGAAACAAAAATCTAAAATAAAAGTGCATGACGTAAGAGTATTTCGAGGAGCCGAATGTGGAAGTGACCACCATCTAGTAAAAGCTAAAATGATACTACCGCTAAGCGGAAATGGTAAACACCAACAAAACAAAAATCTAAATGAAAATCACTCAGCAGAAGGTGAACAACTGCAGTATAATCTAACAAGTTTAGACAACGACAGTACTAGAGAATTGTATAAAAAAAGATTGGAGCAACAACTACCACAGGAATTTAAACATAAAACAACAGAAGAGTTACATAGCATAATAAGAAAAGGAATACATCAAGCGGCCAAAGAAGCATTAGGAATAAGAGTAAACAAACTCAGAAAGACAAATAATTGGTGGAATGATGAACTACAGGAAATGAAAGATCAAAAGCAAAAATTATATCACAGATGGCTGGGAACAAAGGATCAAGAACACAAAAGAGAATATAAAGAAATGGTAAATAGAGTCAAAAAATCAAAGCTGGGAGAGAAAATGTCAGGAATTAGATACGTATATTGGCGGCCGCAAATCAAGAGAATCCTGGAGATTTATAAAAAACATCAGATCCAACAGAACAGAACAAATAGCCATACACTCCATAGAGCCCGAAAAATGGGAAAAACACTATAAAACACTGTTAGTAGAAGAAAGACCGGAATTCAAAAACATAGAACAACATGAAATCCTGATTCAAGGAGAGCCTCCAACAATTAACATCGAAGAAACTAAAAAAGCTATATCATTGTTGAAAAATGGACGTGCTCCGGGCCCAGAGGGGATATATGCAGAGTTAATAAAAAATGGAACCAACAAACTATTCGAGATACTAACAGAAGTTTTCAATAGGCACTTGCACGGAGAACCAGTGCCACAAAGTTGGAAAGAAGGATGGATTACATCTATCCATAAAAAAGGAAATAAGGAAGATTGCAATAACTATCGGGGTATAACTGTTACGAGTACGCTTAGCAGATTATATGGGAGAATTATAAAAGAACGCATATGCGAAGAATACCGTCCTTTTGAATCAGAAGAACAAAACGGATTCAGAGCGGGACGATCCACAATAGATAGTATTTTTTGCTTATCCCAAATACTCGAGAAAAGAACACTGAGATCTCGAGAAGTGCATTTACTTTTAGTCGATTTAACAAAAGCATATGACACCGTGCCTGTTGCGAAATTGTGGGAAGTATTGGAGAAAACCAGTATCAGCGTTTCACTAATCGACGCTATTAAAGATCTATATAACAACACAATATCAAAAGTTAAAATAGGAAATAAGGTTACTAATGGTTTTCAGGTAACAAAAGGACTGAAGCAAGGTTGTTGTTTATCTCCCATACTATTTAATATATATATCGACGAAGCACTCAGGCAATGGAAAAAGAAGTGTAAAGGGATGGGGCTGTCTATTGGGGATGAAACGTTATACACGCTGCATTATGCAGATGACCAGGTAGTTATTGCCCAAGACAAGGAAGACCTAGAGTATATGGCTAGAAAACTAATGGAAGAGTACAAAAAATGGGGCCTCGAAGTAAATTTACAAAAAACGCAATATCTTTGCATAGGAGGAGAAAATACTGCAGATGACCTCGACTTAGAAGACGGGAAAATTAAGAAATGCGATCAATGTATATATTTGGGGTAAAACTAACAAAGACAGGAAGAACTGATGAAGCCATAAAAGACAGAATAACCAAAGGGAAACGAGTTATAGGTGCATTGAATTCAGTACTATGGCAGAAAAATATAAGACCGGAAACGAAAAAAAGAATATATAACACAATATTGAAACCAGTAATCGTGTATGGCTCAGAAGTATGGCAGTTATCACAAAAACTTAAAGGTAACCTCTTGGCAGTTGAAATGGATTTTTGGAGGAGAGCAGCGGGAAAGTCTCGATTAGAACATGTGAGAAATGAGGACATAAGAAATCAAATGAATGTACAAAGATCAATTATAGAAGACATCGAAAAACAACAACTGACATGGTACGGACATGTTAGACGTATGGGGGAAGAAAGACTACCAAAAAAAATATTAGAATGGGTACCACCAGAGAAAAGAAAACGAGGACGACCACCAACAACATGGATGCAAGGAATTTCAAAAGCAATGTCAGCAAGAAATCTATTTGAAGAAGACTGGCAGAATAGACAGGTTTGGCGAACGGGAACCCAAAGGCGGATTACGCTATAAACGGGATATATATATATATATATTTTTCATGGTACTTTGGTTAATCTTTCCTAAGTGTTCGTAATTACCCATCGCTCCCCTATTATTGTAACATTGACAGTTGTATGGATAAAAGAAGGAAACTGAACGAAGAAGGCAAAAGGAAATCTATAGAATATGTAGAAATTAATAAAACAATAAGCAGAATGATAAAAGAAAATAAGAGAAAAGAACAAGAAATAAAAATAGAAGAAGTAATACAAAACAACAAAAATATGAAATGCTGAAAAGGCCGAAATTAGGTAAGTTTCCGAAATTTTTTTAAGGCCGAAATTATTAATATAATCTACCATTTCTACTCCGAATTATATAAAACAAAAAAGGAACCACCAGAAGAAATTAAAAACCAACTTAGGGTCAAAATAAAAAATGTCAAATGTCAAATCAGAAATAAAGAAGGCATTGAAAAAAATGAAAAAAAACAAATCGCCTGGAAAAGATGGAATAACTGCAGAGATGATGAAATATGTTGGAAAAGTGGTAATTAATACTCTACATTCCCTTTTTAACAAGATATTAAAAGAAAAAAGAATCCCAAACAACTGGAAGGAATCAGTAACCATTATCCTACACAAGAAAGGGGATAAAGCAGATATAAAAAACTACCGTCCTATAACACTCCTCAATGTAATGTATAAACTCCTAACAAAAATTTTTACCAATAGATTGACGACAAAATTCGATGGATACCAGTCGAAAGAACAAGCTGGTTTTAGAAAGGGATTCAGCACAAGTGACCATTTACTAAGTATGAAAATACTTATAGAACGAGCAAATGAATACCACATTCCTCTATATATGGCGTTCATAGATTTCGAAAAGGCTTTCGACAGTGTCGAACATTGGGCAGTGAAAAGTTCTTTGATTAACAGCCGAATTGACCACAGATATACGGAACTAATAACCAATATATATAAGGAAACCAAAACAACAAATAAAGTATATGAAGGAACAAAATTATGAATAGGCCTTAATATGAATTACAGCAAGACCAAAACTATAACAAATACAGATGAAGACATAACAATGAGAATCGGACAAGATGAAATAGAACAAGTTAAGGATTATATATATCTTGGTCAAACTATAAAACTTAACAAAGAGAACCAAACAGCAGAGATCAAGAGACGAGTTAGACTGGCATGGGCTGCATTTGGCAAACTAAGCTACATTCTTAAAAACAAAAGATATCCACAGCATCTTAAGACCAAAGTATATAATCAATGCGTACTCCCTGTTCTTACTTATGGTTCTCAAACGTGGACATCTACAAAAGCAAACATGGACAAAATCATAAAAACCCAAAGAGCAATGGAAAGACAAATGTTGCACATAAGACTAATGGATAAGAAGAGAAACGAGTGGATAAGAGAGAAAACAAAAGTGAGGGATGGTTGACAAGAAGTTGCAAAATTGTAATGGAGATTTGCCGGACACAATATAAGACAAAAAGAAGACCGATGGAACAAAATTCTTATAAGTTGGAGACCGTGGGAATATAA